TACAGTATGGAGTACAATGGACACAGCATCATCAGTAGATCTATTTTTCCTGTATGCAAATTGCCATGGGTCCAAAGAAGGTGGAAGACTAGCCTTAATGTAATCCAGCACCAATCTCTCAAAACATTTCATAACAACAGATGTTAAAGCTACTGGTCTGTAATCATTGAGAGATACCACAGCTGACTGCTTGGGGACTGGCACTATAATAGATGTCTTCAGGCAAGTGGGGACTGAACACTGCAACAAGGATAGATTGAAAATATCCGTAAAAACTCCAGCTAATTCTGCAGCACAGCCCCTAATAACTCGTCCCATGATTCCATCTGGTCCAGCTGCCTTTCGAACATTAATATTCTGGAAAGCGCGTCTCACATCTGAAATCTGCAGTACTAGTGGTTGTCTGTTGATGGTAGATTCTAGTGATGTATTATAGACAGTAGGTGCTGGAATAATGGTTGTTCCTGTTTCCACCTCAAAACGGCTGAAAAATTGATTTAACTGCTCAGCCATAAATAAATCTCTCATTCCCAGAAAAAAAGAGAGAGAGAGACCCATGTGTGAAGCTATCCCCCTGCATTTCATGGCAGTAGCTGAGCATTTGTCAAGTCTGCTCCCTTCTCCATGTAAAAGGGAACAGTAAGGAGGAGTTAGGGACGTGGTGGCGCTGTGGGCTAAACCGCAGAAGCCTGTGCTGCAGGGTCAGAAGACCAGCAGTCGTAAGATCGAATCCACGTAACGGAGTGAGCTCCCATCGCTTGTCCCAGCTCCCGCCAACCTAGCGGTTCGAAAGCATGCAAATGCAAATAGATAAATAGGGACCACCTCGGTGGGAAGGTAACAGCATTCTGTGTCTAAGTCGCACTGGCCATGTGACCACGGAAGATTGTCTTCGGACAAAACGCTGGCTCTATGGCTTGGAAACAGGGATGAGCACCGCCCCCTAGAGTCGAACACGACTGAACAAAAATTGTCAAGGGGAACCTTTACCTTTACCTTTAAGGAGGAGTAAAGCTGACCCCTTAGCAAACTCGTACATCGGGGTCCCAGCCTGCTCAGGGCTGTGCTAGATCCACTTACAGTATTGCACATTGATGTGGTTTTCCACCCTCAACGTACAAGCAGTAATTTGCCCATCTTCGATATGGAATCAAAACCATTCTGCCACTGAAAGACTGACTAGTATCAGAAAAAAGAGAGAAATGATATGAGAACTGTCAAACCACCAATAAGTAATCAATAGCCAGTAGTATGATAATGCCTCTTCCTCCCACCGTATAAATCATACAGTACCCATGGAGGATTTTAAGCAACAAAATGCAACTCTACAAGAGCAGGAGGAATCCAAACCAAGTTAACACCCCTACAGTGGCAGTCAAGAATGACGGATACTAATAGCCGATTGACCTGTTGTCCTGTGTCCCCAACAGACACGCCTGTAAAGGTGGTGGACTAAGAGAAAGGCCTCCCCAGATGATCTTAACACCCGAGCTGGCTCATCATGGGAGTTACGGTCTTTGAGACAGCTTGGACCTTTAGATCGTAGATACTGATGCATCACAAGACACACTCTTTAAAATAGTTTATTTTCCACTCTGATCGCAATGAGAACAAAAAAAAAAGTAATTTACTTTTAGAGAGAGGAAACTGATATCTGAAACATTAAAAACAAGAAAATACACTTATCCTGAGCTTTCAAATAGACCAGATACTTGGATCAGATACAGAGCATGGACAGAGTTCCTACTCCAGTCCTCTGAAGATGCCAGCCACAGAGACTGGTGAACCGTCAGGAAGAACAACCTTCAGAACACGGCCAAAGAGCCCGAAAAACCCACAACAACCACTAGATCCCGGTCGGGAAAGCCTTCGAGAATACAGACCAGATACTTCTTTAAATGTAACTGATCATTTCTCTTTCATCTGTTCAAATAACTGAAAGTAATTATCTGGCTGACAATCCTGCTTATTAAAACAAACAGCTCCTAAGTCAAGCGCTGCATGCTCATTCCCAAAACTGAAACAACCACATTGTGTGTGCTCACAGCCACCTCTAGCGGCCACCAACAACAGCTGTGGAGCTCAAGAAGAGAAGCACCTTGGAAACAATATTGGAAGCAGACAGATTAAATCTGAGGAGGAAAGGATGCAAGGAGATAATTTGCAAATGTTTTCTACACACTGAGATTCATCTCCTGCATACCATACGGTTCTCTTTCACACACACCCCACAGCTCCAACGTTTTATTTTATACAGAAATGCTAAATTAAGGGGTCATTGGAAGTTATGAGAAGCCTCCGCCATGTCAACAAACGAACAGGCTGGATCAGGGAGAATTGCAACTCTGGGGCCATGTGCAGGAAAAGGTGCATGCGCAGAGTTCGCGTGGGAAAAAGAACGAGCAGAGGCGGCAGGAAGACATAAATGGGAAAACAAGAGGGCAGGATATCGAAATGTCAGCAGCAAAGACAGGAAACTTATGCAATACAGGTCAGCAGTCAGTGAGTTTTTATTGTTAGTATATTCTTCTTGAGCTCAGTAACCGTTAATTAACCCATTAACTCCTTTCGAGCATTTTTTTCTCCTAACCCACATCTGTGACATCGAAATTTCTGATTTCTAAAGTAAGTCGTGTTTGCACTGAAAAATAATTAGTGAGCAAAATAAAACTCAAATAATATACTAAGAAATAAGCTCCACATATAAACAAGTGAAGCAACAATCATCTAATAAATTAAAAAAAAGGCCCAAGCAATGGAAAATGGGAAGCATAAAGATGGTAATCCATGGAATGTCAAGAGAGTAAGTTCTCAAAGGCTTCAGTGAACGGCTTTATTTGGAGCATCCTCTTAAATGCTGTGAGGGAGGGGGCCAGGCACAGCTCCACCGGGAGCCAATTCCAAAGGGAGGGGGCCATGACCAAGGAGGCCCTGTTGGTAGCAGATGATGACTTCCTGGCCTCCCTTGGAGTGGCAACCTTGAGAGGATTGGGTGGCACAGGTACAGTAGGTGTTTTATGACACAAAGAGATATCCGGGCTGTTGAACTGGATGAAACACCACAAAAGACGCTTCTCACGACCCAATAAGGGTATACCAGCTCCTCACTTGTCCTACCGCGCAAGGTTGTCGCAAAGAAAAAAAGCCTGCAACCTGGGAGGAGATTAAGCAGACAGCACCAGCTGGAGAAAAGATGCATAGGAAGAAATAGAAGCAATGCACAAGAATCAGGCATGGACACTTAACGGAACTACCACCAGACAAGAAAGCCATACGGGTGCAAGCGGGCATTCAAGCTGAAAGAAGGTGCAAATGGAGAAGCAGAACGCTGCAAGGCAAGACTATAACGGAACTACCACCAGACAAGAAAGCCATCGGGTGCAAGCGGGCATTCAAGCCGAAAGAAGGTGCAAATGGAGAAGCAGGACGTTGCAAGGCAAGACTACGGTAGTAGCAAAAGGATTTCTATAAAAATACGGAGAAGACTTTGATGAAACCTTTGATCCTGTTCTCAAGCACAGCATAGTAAGAAAGCTCCTGAGGGTGGCAGCTTCTAGGAAAATGCAGGTCAAACTGCTAGATGTCAAAATTGCATCTCGGTCGGGTGAGATTACACAAAAATTGTCCATGGAGCAACCACTGTCTTTTAATGATGCAAACCGCTTTGGGTCCTTTTTAAGGGAAAAAAAGGGCAGGATAAAAATATTTTAAATAAAGAAATAAAATAAAAGAACCAGGCTTCACCCATCAGAAGCATCCAGATTCTGTTTGCAAGCTAAAGAAAACCCAGTGTGGGCTGAAGCAAGTTGGGGACCTCCGAGTTATCTAGTCAAGAGTCTGTTCGTGTCCTGTCAGTTGCGTAGTCAGACGATGAAGCTAGTTAATCGGTTTGGCCACATTCCTGTGCCCACTCGTTATTTTTTCCCTACAACCTGCTACTTGGATCTGTGAAGAACCGTGAGTCAATGGAACATTTTTATTCTTTCTCTTAATGAGTTATTGAGCCAGTAAGTGCCAGTTGAAGAGAACCAAACCAAAAGAGGTGGTCAACTCTGGGGAGACCGGAAGTTCATTCTGCTCCGTCGGTCCGCAATCTTTTTTTTCTCGCCCTGCAGCTAGAAATTTGGGGGGGCATAAATTACCACATGTGAACAAGAACCCGTTTGATTTAAAACAACGTTGTTACAGAATTATCCTAAGAAAACACAATGTATTGAGGAAAAAGGTGGACTCGTTCAGTAAAATAATTATAGTTATTATAAAATAATAATTAAAAGCCCCTTCCCCCCCCCAAAAAAAAGATCCCTCTCTCCTTAGTCGTCGGTCCGCAATCTTTTTTTTCTCGCCCTGCAGCTAGAAATTTGGGGGGGCATAAATTACCACATGTGAACAAGAACCCGTTTGATTTAAAACAACGTTGTTACAGAATTATCCTAAGAAAACACAATGTATTGAGGAAAAAGGTGGACTCGTTCAGTAAAATAATTATAGTTATTATAAAATAATAATTAAAAGCCCCTTCCCCCCCCCAAAAAAAAAATCCCTCTCTCCTTAGTGGGAGTCTTTCCAGAGGATCGTCCCACCAGCATGGAAGCAGGGACTACTTTGCTACGCGCACGAACATCCAAAAAGTGGACACGAACATCCAAAAAAAAAAGTCCGCCCTTCACTCCTGACAGATGGATTCCTTCACGGAAAGAGACCGGGCAAAGGGGAGGAATACATGCAGTCACATTAACTTCCGGTTCTACCCGGAGCGCCGCCATATGCGGGGCGCCGCTCAGAGCATTAGACCCTCCGACGAATTAAAAAAATAACCGGAAGTATTTGTTGCCTCTCATGACCCGGCACCCCCTTGGAAATCTCAGGACTATTTCCGGCCTCCTTGTCCCTCAGGTCAACGCGCGCAAAGGAGGGGGGTGGGGAGTTCTTCCGCCTCTTAGTCCTCTTCCTCCTCCCCCCCTCACAAATGAAGGCCCGAATCGTCCGCTTCCACTCACCTGCAGACGGTGGTTCCATAGCCGTAAAATAATCTATGAGGTTTGAGGGGGAAGCCAAAAAATAAAAATAAAAAATCTATTTTTTTTAATAAAAGTGTCACTAAAAAGAGAAGCACTTTCGTCCCCCTCTGAAAAAAGGCCAACGCCCGCCTCTCTTTCGAGACCCTGAGGGGAAAGAAGCCCCTTCAACACAACAAAAGCACGAAGCAGACGCTTCCGTATATAAATATTAATTAGTATTATTCAATGGCGGCGAACGGGCCAGCGGGCCAGGATTATGGCGAATCTGCTACGTCCGACATCGCAGCTGCTGATTCTTCCTCCCCCCCTCCCGTGACGTCAGAGACGCGCGCGGCAGAGCGAGGGGCGGGGGAGCGCGCGCGGGCTGCCGTCGGGCCGATCCAGGCGCGCGACGTTTCCCCTGGAGCGACGGTTGGGCGGGGCGAGCCCAGACCCCACCCACCGAGTCCCTCTTTTTTTCCCCCAACCTCTCTTGCCCTCCGTGCGCACGCGCGCCGCATCTTGGCCGCTATAAAAGGGTCTGCAAGCGTTGGTCTGCCTTGAAAGGTGGGCGCAGAGCTCCTGCGGGTGGTTGAGTTTTTGTGGTCGTTGTACTTGCAAGAAAGGACGCCAAAGAGTCAGTTGGCTAGTAAGCAGCCAAAATGATGCCCCTCATCTTCAAGTCTACATTAAAAAGAAAAAAAAAGGCAGTTACTGCACTAAAGGGGCGTTCTTCTTATTCTGGAGGGGGGGGTGTCGTCTTCTGCACTTATTCGCTTCCCTTTGGGTCAGTGCCTTCAAAGTCCTAGACAGCTGAAGGTTGCTTGAGGAACGACCAGCCCCCCCCCCTTTGTCCTTGCCTTACTTTTTCTCCTCCTCGTCATCATTTTGGAAATACAGAACTGGAAGGGACCCTATGGGGGGGGAGGCGCCGTGGGGAATCGAACTCCCAACTTCTGGCTCCAGAAGACTTTAAAAACCACTGACCCTCTACTTTCCCTAGGGGAATCGAACTCACAACTTCTGGCTCCAGAAGTCCTTAAAAACGACTGACCCTCTACTTTTCTTGTACCAATGTGTTGCCCTCAGATGCAGGAGAGGACCTGCCACCCCTGTTCAACTGCTAAATCTGTTTTTTTTTAAACAGAAAACATGGGTGTAGGAAGGATCTTACCTGCAGAACAGCATCTTAATCCTTCCCAAAGAATCTGTGGATGGGACGTTTTAAATCTCAGTCTTCTCTGCTCTTGGATCCGCTTTCTTTAGGACCCTGCGGAAATCCATGGGGGGGTAGAGGTTTCAGATCCCTACAGGGATCTCTCCACACTTCCCTAAAAACCAAGGAGGGGTGTAAGGAAATGAGACACCTTGACTTACCGTGTAAACAAGACAGCGGCTTGTATTAATTTTTGCTCCAAATAGAGCATTAGGACTTATTTTTCAGGGGATGCTTTATTTTTTTCAGGCACAACCATCTACAGTTAGTCATGTCATCTTCTGATTGCTGCACAGTGGTGGAAGGCAAGCTTTCACTGAACTAGGGCTTATTTGGGGAGATAGGGTTTATATTATGGGCATCCTGAAAAATCATGCTGGGGCTTATTTTCAGGTTAGGTCTTGTTTTCAGGAGAACAGTATACAGAATACATACACCAGGTGCAGCTGGAGATCAGCAAAAAATTCTTTGGGGCTGCAGGGGGGAAAAAGTTAGGATTTAGGAAAGGCAAGAGACGGGGGGGGCAAAATCTTTTTTCCTTTTTTCCCTCCCGCAGCAATGGGAAGAACCTCGACCCTCTCACGAGGATCCTTGCCCTTTCTCTCCCCCCCCGGTCGTTTTTAATGTTGGGATGTCAAGTTTTGTGTTTCTGAAAGGATAAAAATCCCCCCGATGCTCGCTCGATTCCTCTCTCTTCTCTCTCTCTCTCTTCCCCCCCCCGCTCCTTGGGCTGCCCCCCCCCATCGGGACCGGAGGGTCGGAGCGA